AATTTTAGAACATTTATCTTATCGTTTCTTAAATTTTTGTTTATCTAATTTTGTTTCATTTTATCAAAACCTTTAGAGTATTTTTTAATGTAAATACTATCGCGTTAAATTGCAAAAATAAAATATTGAAACTGTTTTTGTATAGACTGAAATAAAGATAAATATGTGATAAAAAACAAAGTCTCCGAAGTATTTTTTTGTATAAAATTAGCTTGAAGGTTTATATAGAAAGCGCTTTTAACGCAGAAAATTCGTAATTCTTATCAAGAACTTTTTTTTTATTTGCAAACTTTTTTCTCGAGCGTACCTGCTAAAATTACGCGTCGTGCTCAATAAAATCGGGTTCATATGTTTTTTTATATTTTTATTACTGCGTGGTTTTCTGCTGCTGCTGCTGTTGTTGGGCAGTCTATTTTAAAAACTTTCTTCGATAATGAAAATTTTCATTTGATAAATTATGTAATTGTGCTCAAATAAACTAATATGGTCACTTTTCAGTCGAAATTTAATATTGTACGAGTTTAGCTTTTATGTTAAAACCCATTTGTAAATTGTATCTATTTTAACACTTTTACTGGAAAAAAAAACTAAATATATACACAAAATTACCCATCAGATAAGAAGTTTTGTATAAATAGCTTTTCTTTGTTAAAATGTTTCAAATATAAACTTTTAATTTACCAGAGTTTCCACAAAGGATTAATATTTAGATAAGACCATATGAACATTTTTATTAGAAATTGATTTCAAATAATATTAGGTGCAGAGAAGACAGTAAATATTTTTATATGTATCGTTGTCGTACCATCAATAAGTGATATAAGTATTAAATGAATAACATCGCCAATAATAATAATTAACTATATTTGTTATTCAAATTTGCACTATATTCATGTTATATATTATTCATACTTGATGCATTTAAATATAGATTTTATAGAATATTTTTAAGGATGAAATACTTTTTCTCTACTATCATCTCACATTTGATAAATAAAACCACGTTTTGAACATTTCTAAATTTTATTTTTTTTTATATGTCTTGTCAGTGTTTAATGTTTATTTTATTCAAAGAGCTTTCTGTTACCTTCTTTTTTGGTTGAATAATACTTCCATGTTTTAATCATTTAAACATTCAAGTATGTGTTGGTCATGCATTACATGTTTACTTTTCTTTACAGTGCAATAATAATTTTATTTCATTTCCATTGATTTTGACATGTCCGAGCTCTTGCATATGCAAATGGGCCGGTGCAAATAAAGACTTAATATAGGTTAAATTGAAATAAATATTTCCCAAAAATATGTGGTATTTTTTTTTGCGTGCTCACCTCGAGTGCGGGAAATCGTAGTAGGTTCGATCAACGGCCTGAAAACAAAAGACTTTAAAATTGGTATTTGATGCTTCTACGCTAAGCACGCGGCATTAAGGAGTATAAGCAAAGACTGTTTGGCCCGGAGTTAGAACAATGTGTATGGGTAGGATGATATGTTTTCCAGCGGACTGTTTCTTTGTTAACTCAGTAGCACGTTAAAATCCGGCTCAGTATGTTGGTCTAGTAAAAACAGGGTTCATATTTATATCACATTAACATGTTCTCTTCATGAATATAAATTTTATTTGTCACTATAAGTTAAACAGCCACCCATCATCATCAATCATTTTGTATCGTAAGCGAGAATCTTGTTTCGGAAGTGTTGACAAATTCATGAATATATATTTATTTGCCAACAAATTGCAACTTTTAAGACAGATAAAATTAAAAAAAATATGAGAAAAAAAGTCTTCAGAGATATACAAACACCCCCTGAGTCAATCATGATAAAAAGAAACATTCATACGATAGATATTTTCTACCAATGCAAACGAATATATAACTTTTTATAAATATCTTAGAGGAATGAATTAAAGTTTCAGAGCAAATGCAATGCAATTTCCGTTATAATTAATATTTCCAAGGTGCATAACTCTTTTAAAAATATTTGATCAGCACTAATTTTCGATAGTGTCAAAGACATTGCTGAAATAAACCTATGATATAAGTTTCATAAAATTCTGGCAAGAATTGTACACATGAGAGCGCTAACAATGCAATTTTCCATATAAGCAATATTTCCAAGGGGCATAACTCTTTTAAAAATAATTAATCGGCACTGATTTTCGAACTCGTTCACGACATTGCTGATATAAACCTATGATATAAGTTTCATAAAAATCTGACAAGAATTGTACATGCGAGAGCGCTAACAAGAACGGACGGACGCACGGACGCATGGACAGACGGATTGACGGACGCCCGGTATTTCTATGTCCCCCGCAACGTGTTGCGCGGGTGACAAAAAGTCATGTGGTGACTTCAATAGTCGGTATCAATTTTATGGTAGCTGGCATAAACTAACATTACTAAAAATATAAAAATAAGATAATGTGCTATGATTGCCAATGAGACAACTCGACTTAAAAGCCTAATTAATTAAAAGATGGTATATCAACTCTTTTTTTTAAATCAAATGTTTTTACTTGAAAGGATCAACAAAAGAATGAATTTGTTTATAGTAAGTTATATGACTAGCTTAATCAGAAACCATACTAGTAAATGGACCTGGCGAGTCTTTGCTGATTTCAGTGATGGTGTTTTCTAACAGATCCCTCATATGAAGTCAAAATTAGTAATAGGTTGACAACATGTAAAGCACGGAAGAAAAGTTCTACGATCATTTACAACAACCTCATGTGCACATAATAACGATCCAGTACGATCGTGAAACTTTTGTTAATATGGTATGTAGATCACCCCCAAGAAGACCTCTTTAGTACATATGCTCTTTAGAAGTGAACCAATTGTAATAACTATACAAAATAAAAAGGCGATATATGTATGTTCGATTTTAAAAGGGAAATTATCTATCTGCAAAGTCGTGAAGTTTTAGATTCAATAGTCCTTAGGAAATGCCTGTACATATTCAGGAATATGACAAGTTGTTTTCATTCGTTTGATGTGTTTGAGCTTTTGATTTTGCCATTTGATAAAGGACTTTCCGTTTTGAATTTTCCTTGGAGTTCAGTATTTTTGTTATTTTACTTTTTAATACCTTGCTGTATAACTCTGTTTTTTCGCGTACTGTCCTTAATTTCTAGCTCAAAGAATAAGATAAATTTGGGTAACACCTTTTCGTTCTTTTCATTGTAATCCTTGGATGAGCTCGTCTTACGCTGGTTATTTTAAGCAAATGCGGCCATTCATCATCTTTGGCATATGGGCAAAACGGAGGGATCTCGTGTTAATAAGGATATGCAAACCAAACCGGAGATAATAACAGCCAGCGGCCATGTTTTTGTAAGTTGGTATTGTTACCAGTACATATAGAATTTCCTTAAGATTCTTTCTTTATAGTTTTGGCGAAAATGTAAGATATTAATGTATAGATGAACGTCGGACGTATATGTACATGTAAAAAATATACTTGAACCCTGGATTCTCAAAACAAGAAGTACTAAATTTAAAAATATGAAATAAAATTAAGGTAAACACATGAGCGGTTCTTTGACCTTCAACCTCGCCTGGTATGTGTGCATTATTGTCCATGCCAATGAAGGCCCTGGGAAGGCCAACATGTCAGAGCAAATAAGTTTTACTGAAAATTAGAAATGTGTACTTGAGTTTACCGGGTCTGAAATTTGAGGTTACATTTTTGTAGTGGGAAACATTGCAACGTCAAAAACAATCGACATGAAAACGCTTAATATTCTACTTCAGACAACATCTGTTTGTTTCGATTATACAATTGTTATGCTATCATTGAACAATTATCTTTATTGCTTTAAAACTTAATTTTCGCATATGTGAAAGTTTCAGTTCTATTGCACAGAGTCCATCCACGTTCATGCCGGAGCCATGGTTTTAACCAACTTATCAAAAGCGATCCAACAGCCGACAGATTTGTCATGCTCTGGACAATGAAACATGTACTGTTATTATGATTTTTTTTTTCAAACTATCGAAACATAACTCTTCTGGATCAAACCTGAATTCAGTATTAATGGTATTAAAACTGCAAGTGTAAATATCTTAATAATATATTTAAAAAAACTAATCATAGATTATCTTAAATACCAGAATTAAAATTTTAGACTCGCGTTTCGTCTAAGTTGAAGAGCATTAAAAACCCAAAATTTCGAAAAGGTTTGCAAAATACAGCTAAGGTCATCTACATTCCATGGTAAAAAAACTAGAAAAATGCTTGTTTTGGGCCCCTTTAGGGCCCCTAATTCCCAAACGGTTGGGACCATCACCCCCAAAAACAATCCCAAACTTCCTTTAGTGGTATTTAACCTTTTGGTTAAATTTCATAGAGATCCATACAAATAAACAAAAGTTATTGTCCGGAAACCAAATGTCTTCGGACGACGACGACGTGATAGCATTATACGACCCCAAAATTTTTTTGCGGTCGTATAAAAAGGACTGATTGTGGAGGACGAGATACTTAAGAACTATCAGTTCACTAGCAATGGTTTCAAATCGTAATGCTGACACGAAAAGCATATTGATTTGTAGAAACAACATTTACCAAAAGAGACAAGACGCTCATTTTCATATTTAGCTTTTCAACACAACATTTTATAAATTTAGGAACTTTTGACTGCAGATAACATAATATGAAAAAGTGAGTGCGTTTTAAAGGGATTTTATATTCATAAAATAAAAGTAGGATTATAAGATATATCAACCGACTTTTTAATGGAAAAACTTACCTTGCCCCTCAAAGCATGTACGCCAGCTATATCGCATACTAGTATTAAAAATATCACAATAACCATTGACCCCCTTTGGAGTAGAAGACTGTTCTTAAACTACAACATTGACCATTATTTTTAATTTCATCAAGTCCGATAACTTTGGGACAAAAAATGTAATCCTTAAACTTTTTTATGAAGCTTAGTTATACTAGAATGTCACAGTGTGAAACTGTGCAAGTTGAACAAATAAGTTTCAAAAGACAACAATATTAATTTATTGCAAATTTGGTAAACAGTTTCATTGACTCAATCATTCCACCATCCAATCACGCACCTTAAACATATAGCACCAATTAGTACATGCAACAAAAAGCAACATACGATCATTCACTGTCCTTTGATGAAGGAGATCCTATGCTCTCATCTCGGTTTTTGAAAAAACCGTCTTCACTAGTAGCCTCTCGGATGGTTATAGTCGCATCAGCTGAAGTAACATCAGTTATTTTTACTTGATCCAAAACACTTTTAATACTAGTTGGAGGAGTCCAGTAATTTTTAATTTCCATAGATTTTTGTGTCCTTTCCATAAAGGGATTTCTTCGAATTTCATCTGGACTCGTACTATCCTCGTCGTCATGGTTTGATTGTTTGTTAGAGGTACCTCCATTTCTATTCAATATGTTTTTTATTCGTTGTGCCTTTTCTTTCATCAGTTTTCTACGTTCCAAACTACTGATTATATTTAAATTTCCTCTACGAATGGAATGAATATTACCACGTGTAATTGCAGCTCTTAAATTTAACGGTGGTCTTCCTACTCGGCCTGTACCACGGCTACCGAATGGTCTACCAGGGCCGCGACCCCTGCCTCTCCTTATTCCTCTTATCCCTCTCATTCTTCCTCGTCCTCGCCCTCTTCCTCTACCTCGTAGCACAACCTGTAAAGGTGGTGGTCCAATGTCTCTACGTACCAAAGGTGGTCTACCACGTGGTCTTCCTCGCGGACGACCACTCCTACCACGTGGCCTGCGAATGTTTATTGGAGAAAGGGTTGGTGGGAGAGGAAAATCATTTTCGTCCGTCAGATCTCCATCTGAATGTGAACATTTTCTATCGTGTTTATTTTCACGTCTTTCCTTCTCAATATCCTCATTCTTTGTAGACCTTTCATCATTTATATCAGATTTGTCATGCTTATTATTTTCACATTCTGTTTTAATGAACGAATCGTCCGTTGATGAATTCGCAGATTCATCACTCGAGTTTTTATCTTCGTCGTCATTTTTGTCATCATCTGTGTCGGAATCACTATCTGAAGTGTTGCCCTTTTCTGCAGCCTCGTTTTCCTGTAAATAACCCAGAGAGGTAACATTATATACAGATTCATACTTCAAATTGTTCAAGATTTGTTTTTGTTATATTGGCGTGAACATGCAGTTTTACATTAGCAGGTGAAATATATCTCAATAAGCTTGCTTTCATCCTGACTTTCATTAACTGCGATCACTCTCAGATGTAAGATATTTTAATTAATCATTTGCACGTACTTAAGTTATGCCTGAAGTGCTTTTTAACTGTACGTTTTTTGTATATCTTAAGATATGTTCCATTGATCGAGATTCAAAGAGAAAGGATTGACATCTGAAAAGCACAAGTTCACATGACGTTCATACGCATGACCTAGGGATGAAGCACGCCAGTGGTTGTCTCTAGCTACTTGTATATCCTATTTCATTTAATAAAGTTGGTGCATGTTGATTGTAGATCTTTGATGGTTTCCGTTAAATCTTATTCTCAATTTTTCCAGACTATAGCCGATTTGGAGCTCTACAATAGTAATATTGTATATAGACACTTGTCTATTGTTGAAGACCGTATGATGAAATAACGAGGTATTTTGGTTGTTTTATGTCGATGGGTTGCTGTCATACTGTACACCTCTTATACATTTAAACGCAGGTGTCACATGTTAACGCGTTATTCGAATTATACGTTCAAATATTTGTTGTCTTACATTCATTATTTACAGAGATGTGAAATAGAAGCTTTTCATATTTGATATTTTGTTAACTATATATAGCTTAGAAAAAAATATTTATTAATGCACAAAAGTTATTTCTATTGGCATATTTTTAAAGTCCTCTTAGCATGAAACAATTTCTAAACTAGGTTTTCGAACATCAGACTTCTCGAACTTCAACGTCCAATAAAATATTCTCTGTATGAATATATCGATTCAAAGTTCAGTGTGTAAAAATCAAAAGGCATTATCCCTTAAAAGTTAAAGTTTTAACAATTATATGTAAAGGTCATCTTGATTATTGAATAAAGAGGTCCTGATTGATTGATTGATTGTTGGTTGCTTAACGTCCAGTGGCAAATGTTTCATGCATGTTCATGACCAAAAAAATGTAAATTTTGTCTTCGATTTACTTGCATAAATGGTGTTTTTATTGCGTGTTGAATTTTGCTGTATATCATTCAATTTGAAAGGTAATTTTTCATATATAATATGTTTTCTTGAAATTTTGTGGAAAAATACTTGCGGTTGTTATGTAAGAAATTTGTTCACATAGCAACATTAAAGACTAATTTTACACATGACTCTTACATTCTAGTATTCTTTTCGTTTCTTATATTTCGTGGGAACTGATAAAATACACATATTTATTTTGCCAACAGACATCACATACGAAAGCTATTAATTAAAGTCGTCTTTACCGTCTGAGGGTCCGTGAGTTCAATTATTACGTCTACTAGTATATAGATTTGTACAGATTCAAGATACAAATAATTATTTTATTAACACATTATTATTTTTTAGTTGCACAGACTCGTGTAACTAAATATGTGATGGTGCACGCATATTTAGTCCAATCTTTAGAAGTTTTTTTTCCTGCATGTGATTTCACTATAATCCCTTCACATCTTATCATATATACAGGGACCTTTTTATAGCTCACTGCACAACATTGGTTTTGCTCATAGCTGAATGAACCTACGATGACCTGTAGTTATTTACATCTTTGTCATGTGGTCTCTTTTGGATCATACCACATCTGCTTATTACATATTACGTTGACTATTCAGATATTTTCTTTAACTAATACTTTACAATGTTTTTTTTCTGTTATTCGATTTCAAAACTAAAATTTGCGAAATAAAAGATAGAAATGTTTTTCTTGATAATAGAGACGAGATATAAATATCTTAGGAAAAGAATTTACAGATCCCTATATTTATTAACAACTTAGATTAATTAAAAGAAAATAGAAAAATATATAAGTAATGTTTACTATCATTATGAGTTTCTATATCGCGACCGCCTGTTCTCAATCAAGCCAATCCATACAGAAAAGTTCAAAAGGTGTGCATGCACGAAAGACCCTATAAAAATAAGTCCTTATACCAAAATTTAATTTTCATCGGAATTGTCCTTGCAACATATTAAAAAGTATTCTATAATTTTAATGTAGCTAGGCAATGTTGCAGAACATTTTCCGTAATAATCTACAAGCTGTCACAAACGTTAATTCATATGACTATTCATCGTTCATTTATCGAAGCTTACTTTTTTAAACCAAACATCAAAATGTTAAATTTCTAACACAAATAATACTATTTTCAAATATTTCAGAGAATATTGTCTTTTATTTGCACAGTATTATTATATAATATAGCGTAAATATGAATACATAAACCGGAGCTATATTGAACTATAAAGCGTATAACCGAGGATTATAATTTTTTTAACACTAGCGATGAAAACATTTTGTGTATTTGATCAGATATTTTTACTTTTTTCAATTACACAGTGACACGCATTTGTTGTGATACAAAAGAATCACAAAGGTATGGATTATAGGTCAAGGAATTTTATTCAAAATCAATTACGTTCAAGTTCGTTTAAGCAACCATATACCTGCTATTTTCAATATAGAGAACAATAATAGAGGAGAAGGCATGCAAAATATGACCCAATGTTTGCTAAATAATATTCAATACAAATAACTCTTCTAAAAATTTACATTTATTTATTATTACAATCCACGGAAAGGTACTCGTTTGATATCAGAACCCTGAAGTACACTGAATGCACGAAGCTGTGACGTTGAATATAACCAAGATGAAAAGGCCTTTTGAAAATAAGTTTACTCTCCCAGTAAAAAAAAAAGTGGAAAATATCTCAACCTCTTGAGAGATTACCATCTAATACACTGATTTATCTAGTTTATCTATTTTGTAAAACTTTGCCTATTTACCACCATGATAAATTTAGCCTCATGACGAATTCTATATTATTTTTAAAACCGTGTTTACATGTTGTTAATCGTTTGAGGCCATTGTGTAAAGTACATTCTAAACTTGGCGATCTCCGTACCCACTATAATTTTTCTAATCAATCATGTTAAAAGCTAATACTTGTTTCTCTCGAAATATCTATTTTCAACTTTATAAATTGAACAACGTACATTAAAAAAAAATTGTCTGATATTTTATTTAAATTGGCTTAATAGTTTCACACAATCTTTCGAAATATCTATTTTCAACTTTATAAATTTAACAACATGCCTTAAAAACAAATTGTCTGAATTTATTTTATAATTTTATTTAAATTGCCTTGATAGTTTCATACAATGTCGTTTAGTTCGTAGACATCCGTGCATTGTTCGTCAAATGTCTGCGAATATGCATGATTAACGAAAATTTTATGTGTTGCCCCAAAAAACCAACGTTTCTTCTTTTCATTCGGAAAGTCTACTTTATTTACCACTCCATAAACACTGTACCAAGGAAGAGGTATAGTAAATATCAAATATAAAAGTGCAAATCAGAATAACCCAAGAGCTTTTTTTTTAGAATATTGCATGCATGCACATCGTTAGAGAAAAAAAAAACATAATAATTGTATATATATTACCACAATCAGAGGCAAAATGATACATGTGGACTATAATTAAATATAAATATAAAAAGATACATATAAGTTTAACTCGGCGGTTTGGTGATTTTTTTGTTAAATAGATCACAAAATTAATAACGTTTTTCACATTTACATATTCTTGTTTTTTTCTGTTAGTGCATATAGGTAAAATTTTAACAGGAATGAACAATGATAAAGCACAAAAATACTGAATATTCTAGTTTAAACTTATACTTAAGAATTATTATGCATCACAGCATCATTTTCTAGTGGATAAAATAAGTTAATTTCCAGACAATTATATTCTGCATTGAATGCATGCCAATAAAACTTACAAGAAATCAATAAACACAATTTTCTGTTTTACTAAAACTATTTTAACACAGTTATTCAAGTATATTTACCTGCAATTTCTGTTTCTTGGGCTTCGGTCCTCTTTTCTTAGGTTGTGCCTCATCGCTGAAATTAAATTTATTGAGTGTTTAATTTTTCTTTTCCTTTTTTTCAACAATACACATGTTAAGTCGTTAAGTAAACTTCACGAGATCACGATTAAATTTATCAGAGAACAGAAAATGAACTAAATTCCAAGTAATAAATCAATACAAATGACACCAGATAAAATTATTTTTTTTATATGATATAATATTATTACAATGTTAAACATGTGTTCAAAAAAGAACATTGTTGTAAATCAAAAATTTGATTTCAATACACAATAGCAATTAATTCCTTATGTGTATTACTTACCTTGAATTGAAAGCAACAATTAATCTAGAATCCAAGATGTTTTCTTCTGGTTCCCACGTGTTATATCTGGTAAATTAAAACATATAAATAAGATATTAATTTAATGTGTCATAAGGTAAATTTCAAATGAAATATTATTAAATTGGATATTTTAATTAACAGGATAAATAATGTTTACTTACTTTGGAGACCATCCTTTCCATTTAACAAAATATTCAACTTTTGCCTGCAAGACAAATAAAACAAATTATGAATCGTAAGTAGGGCGAGGGATGACCGAGCTTGTGGTTGTATCGCGCCAAGATACACAAAGGGAACAAAGGATTAAACTTACCCTTCTTATCCTCTTCTTTAGAATACGTTCGGCAGCAAATACTCGTTCCCCCATTTCGTTAATATCCATAATATTCTCAAAATATCAATAAATTCACATTTTATTTATGACATCTTTGCCAATTTAATGTTGTTTACATCCCATAATGCATTTCGTCTGACGTCACTGGCTGTTCAGTCTGGGTTAAAAATAAATTATCGGAAAAAGAAATATAATACAAATGAATTATTTTAATTTAAATAAAAGTAATAAGCGGATCGTTTTTAAATTTAATGTACGGAAATAATAATAAAAAAAAGAATATTGGTATTAAATACTGAGACAAAAAAGAAACATTTTGTTTTTATAAACAAACACTAACATCGGATTATAATAGGGATTATTATACGTGCATTTAAACTAAATGCAACACTGAATAAAGGAAACATAATAAAAATACGGATTTCAGTATTTGACAAATAAATTGAAATACCCATGTAAATTCAATTTTACATTTAAATTGAATGAACATTAATGCATTTTTAAAAAGAATTAAGGCATGTTTCACGGAATAGAAGTTCCTTCATAATATAAGTTCCAAATGGAAACAATATTCTGCAATATTATTTCCACTGGAATAAATATTACAGTAAATGTTCCTAACGTAATAAATGGTATAGAATATTTGTTCCAACAGGAACAGATATTCAGTGGAACTTCTGTTAGGCGGAACAAATATACGTTGACAAAGTTACCCCTTTTTATATTTTATCATGGGCCCGATTGGTAATGTAAGGTTTGGTAATAAGAATTTCTTATACAGAATTAAAATATTTTGTACCTTTAGAAATAGGTAATATGCGAAATATTCACAGAAATTACTATATTCACAGAAATTACTTGCTAATTGCATGTAGTAATTTTCTCAACTATAAGAAAACATTACCATAGGATATAAATATTATTCTGGCAGGTATTTTATAACGTAATGTAAATAGAATTTGATGATAATTTCGAGAAAGAACAGTAATTCTATATCTGGTATTTTCGTTAAAAAATTATTAAAGTATAAATGAAACTTTTAATAATTAATTTGAATGCATCCTTTATATTAGACTAGGGAATAAAACTTCTTCGTATCGCCATCACACTATGAAGTGAATTGAAAGGAAACACTCTGAAAAACTCGAAAAATCCGTGCGTCGAGGTAAATATCGAAGAATGATATTTTACAATAAAATAGGCATATGCGAGACAAAAGAAATATAGGAATAACATTTCAATACATGTTGAATTTTTTTAAATTTTCAAATAACAAAAATAGGACGAAAAGGACGTCCACGCATTCTTATATATTCTAAATCGGTAATTGTGTTGCCATCCCAAATTAGCGACGGAAAAAGTAATTTAGATAGAATCATTTTTTTTTATAGTATTTTGTTGAAAACTTTTTGTAGCAAGTACCCATATGTCCGTTGCAGTTATTATATTTCCAAGTAAGTGTGAAACAACAATCCTACTAAGATATAACTTCAAATCATGCTATAAACTCACCATAGACCAGGATTAAAATTTCGTACGCCAGACGCGCGTTTCGTCTACAAAAAGACTCATCAGTGGCGCTCGAATAAAAAAAAAGTTGAATAGCACATTTCAGAAGTTTGCTTGAAAGCCAAATCTCTGGCCAATTCCGTAAAAGACGAAAGATGCACGCTTTTGGGTAAAGAGACGGGGAAAAATTAAAGAAGTATTTTGTAAATGAATAAAATGAGATGTGGCGTAAAAGTCGACATAAAAAATAAAACCCAAAACATGTCACTCTTCCTGATTATTTTCATTAAAGCAAAAACAGTCATTCAATCTAATTTTGTTGATTTTAGAAGATTTTATTGACAAACATATAGTAATAGAAAAGACAAAGGATATGGGGTACCCAGGGGCGGATCCAGGATTTTAGGGGGGGGCGCAAAATTAAATTTTAGTCGAGCGGAGCGAGGCGAAATTTTTTTCGAGGTAAAATTATCGAAATATTCTTTATTAAGCTGAGGACAACCTATGCGCCTGTCCCAAGTCAGGAGCCTCTGGCCTTTGTTAGTCTTGTATCATTTTTAATTTTAGTTTCTTGTGTATAATTTGGAGTTTAGTATGACGTCCATTATCACTGAACTAGTATACATATTTGTTTAGGGGCCAGCTGCGGGTGCGGGAGTTTCTCGCTGCATTGAAGACCCATTGGTGGCCTTCGGCTGTTGTCTGCTCTATGATCGGGTTGTTGTCTCTTTGACACATTCTCCATTTCCATTCTCAATTTTATTTGCAAATTTTAGGGGGGGGGGGCGCCCGCCACGCCCCTGCCTGAATCCGCCCCTGGTATCCATCCATGACACAAAATCAGTATCTGATTTTTTTTTACCGACTTTTAAAAATAAATGACTGAAAAAAGGGTGTGGGAGTAACAGTCTATTTTCATCTGTGAGAGTAATGGGAGATTGTCGTCTTTGTCCCTCCTAGCTCTAATCAACCACGTTTGGCAATTTTTTGTTGGTTTACATGCAAAAGTTTGAACCAGTAGTTTGAACCCAGAAGGGAAAGGTTTTGATTGTATTTATAAGTAAAGCAAGTGTTGACTTAAAATGCTGGAAAGGTTCACTTGTGAAGAAAGTTTCATGTCCGTAGTAACTTCATATTATTGAAAAAATGTCACACGGTTTTCCTTTCAATGTGTTATTTCAGGTAAAATTACACAAAATTCGTATTTTAATTATTGATGATTGTCATCATAGTATTATTATGTTTACTTCTAGTATATTTTGTATCCTCATTGATATTATAACAAATTTATCCATAAATAAAAAATAAAAATAAAGAATGTTATGTTGAATAACATGTGAATCATTTATTTTTTTTATACATAACACAGATCTTAACTGTTATCCAATCTACAGAATATTATGGGCGTTTTAGTTTATGTCAATCAACATTCTTTCAAGTACCTATTATAGTTTCTATTTTATTTCTATAGTTGTTATCTGGTGCCTGTTTATCGAGCTGTCTTTAGAATATCTCAGGACTTAAATTAGGATAATTTTAGAACCGACTTGCGAAATGTCTGCGCATGCAGATCGAAGCCATCTTGGGATTACCTTCGAGCAAGGATGTCATAACCACCGTCCTAAGTATTGGCGTAAAAGAAAATACGAAATTAAAAAAAATGAATATATATATATATATAAATCATCGAATTAAACCAATAACTATAATTTTAATGAGATAAATAATTAGAATGATTATTAATATTATTATAATGGTATTGAATAATAGGTAAATAATCATTGTACTTTTAATCTCTTTGAAACAAACAAAAAATAAAACAAATATAATTACATTTTATATAAAAATCATGAACAAATTAATTGTAAATATTGCAACTAAATATATAATCGATAAAATATATATCTTTGAGAGAGTTAAATGCGTATTGTTACGACTTCATACCTTACAGATTTCAAACGCACATTTCGTGCATCTTTCCTATATACTAGTATACGGAGTACGTTCAAATAATATTTGATTACGGCCCCTCGAAATGAATTTGAAAAATTGGCATGGATATAAGCAAGAGAAGAAATCTTAAATTTACCGATGCCTACATACAGACACTCCTGGATGAAGTGGAAACAAATACATAGGCTCTTTCAATTTTCATAGTAGGGATTAAATTAAATATTATATGAAAACATATATATATATATATTCTTAAAAAAAATATAAAGTTATCATGAGAAATCCTGTAACCGCTTAAGGCATATATCTAACTTAATTGCGAATATTTCAGTGTGAAAAAATGTCCTAATTTTACCCTTGATCGCTTTAGGAAATGATTTAAGTTAGTTTGTAAAGTTGCGTCAAGGCACAAACATGCAGTTTCGTTTGTCAAAAAAATAGGGTAAAAGGGGGGGGGGGGGTGTCATTAGTGTACAATTAATACTCGACAGCCATTTCTGAATCACGCCTGGTAAACCATAAATTCTCAACCAAATGGTTAAGCGAGAAAAAAGTTTACTGGCACTTCCTGTTGAGCTTTTCTGGTACAAAATATCAAAAATATAGATAGGGTAGGTCGAATTTTCATCAATTTATTGTCAATCTGTAAATATTTTGCTAAATATGAGAATGTCATGCCATAGATAACTGAATGCGAGCTTGTCTTGTTCATTACTCATTACAGTCCATCTAACTGGAAAATTTCTTTCTAAGTTTTTTGTTTAAAGTTTTACTCTCAGATTCAAAGTATGAATAGCACACATTTTATCATTTCTAAAAACTGTAAATATAAAAATTGAATGCTGTTTTTTTATTTATACGAAAAGAAAGCAAGTTGCCATCACATTGTGCATGAAGTGCGGAATTGTATAGTTAGTTCTAAAATGTTACGACCAATAGTGCTAAAAAGAGCGCTGGCTTGCCGGATACGATCTGTTTTAAAGTAAATGCAACTAACACACATAAGCAAACATAGGATGAAATTCGGAAGATATGGAGCACAAGTGATTCAAAGACTCAATACGCAGAGAATCCAAGAAACTGGTGCAGGACTTCTCTTTGAAGTACTGACTCCCTTGTAGATAAAATTGTGGGAATAGTAGACAAAAACCAAAATATGGAATAGAAGGCGGGATTGGTACGTGTCCTGGAGTGGAATAGGGCGGAGTCACCTGTTGAAGCACCCATTCAGACGAAAGATTCAGACTCTTCAAATGAGAATAGTATTGTAATCTTATCAGCAATTTTTATTTAGAAATAAGCAATTTTTGTTTGTATAGGCCATCAATGTAAAGATAACGAACGTACCTAGTTTTGTGTAGCACTTTTGATATTAATTTTGCACATATCATGAAAACACTATGAAGATCCTAATTTTCATACCGTTTATGTATAAGAACAATATAACATACATTTCACTATATTCTTTATACCACAGGCACTCGTCCTGAACATGGATTAAGTATTTGCCACTGGACGTAAAGTGAACAGCAATCATTCAATCTTTAAACCACCATGAGTATTTGATGCTAATTCAGAAATGTATTCGTGTATTTATTACTGCGATTGTTAAAATAGCTGACAAAAATGCAAGATCAATAATTACGACGCCTAGAAAAGCTGTAT